CTTGCGTGCAGCGCCCCACCCCGAAAGACGTGCGCCGCAGGGGCCCGCAGCTCTGGCGGGAGCTCCGTCGTGAGGGAGACGGCCTCCCGCCCTCCGGGCTACACGGGATGCGACAGGGCCGCCCAGAAGCTGGAGGAGGGGGTCCAGCGTCGGTCCCCCCCACTTCGCCCCACTTCGACGGGCGCGGGCCGCATGTTATGACCGACCCGCCCCCCCGCCCCACCCGTGCAACCCGGACGCGTGCACAGTGCCGTTTTTGATACTTGCTCCGCGTGCGGATCGTGTATGAAAGTGCAGGGATTCAGTTAAAAACAACGATGAGTTCATGCATAAATCTATTCCTACATGGATCATGTATTAAACATTCTTTTTTTTTTTATTCAAAAAACAACAAAAACAAGCCATGTAATTATTAAAAAGTGCCCTGTAGTGTCAGGGCAGGCCCTGTTGCAGAGGGGCCTCGGGCCAGACGCCCCCCCTGTGCCCGGCCTGCGGGCACGGGTTGGTGGTCTCTTGACAGCAAGGAGTGAAAAAAAAGGGCCCTGGCACACACGAACAAATAGACGCAGGTAACAGGATTCCCAAAATTTCCCAATCTGTTCTCTGGGTGTTTCTCCTCCCCCCCTCCACTTCCCATCGTGTCCCATAGTTTACTGGGAGTCGACGTTCCATTGTGTCTGAGCGCTTTTGCCTCTCAAGGAGTGAGTTTGGTGCGGACGAGGGATGGGGGAGGGGCGGGGGAGGATGAGGCGAAGGGAGGACGTCAGAGAAGGAGAGGGTGCCCATACCGCTGCCCTCCCCTCGTGTTCCCCTTTCCGGGCCTCCTGGGAGGCCCTCGTCGCCACCGCTGGACTCGCCTCGAGATGATGGTCAGGACGCAAACCTCGGAGAGGTCCGGGGGGTAGCGGTATCGGTACTGTGTGGCCCTCCCAAGGAAGAGGAGGCAGGAGGCGGATGCAGGAGCAGGAGTGGCAGGAGGAGTGGACCACCAGCCAGGTCGAGCGGCTCAGACGGCCCCGCCTATTTTCACTCTCCCTCCGTCAACGCGTGGCACAACCTCATGCTGCGACTGGGCCTCGTCCCCAGCCGGCGAGTGCAGTGCGCTCTCGCGCGCGGCCGCGCTCCCGAATACCTGGCGAGGGGAAATTTTCGCGGGTCGCGCATGGGGCGGGAGCAGCAAAGCTTCCGATGAGCCTAGCGAAGACGAAGCACACCAGGGCGTGAAATGCCCGACTTGAAGAGCACGATCAAGGCTCGACCTGAAGAACACTACTAGCTGGAGCAAATCTGGAGCACGATCACTGCCAGCGAAGCTCCTGCGCCGCGTGGACACTGCACTGCCACTTCTCCTCGCACGAGGCGCCCGCTCGCGCGCGAGGGTGCAAGATTGGCGAGCGGAACTGTGCGCTGCGCCGAGGCGGCGGCGCCACTTTCAGGCGACGTCGCCGATCGGCGCCGAGGCGAGACGAGAGCGACACTGTCGCCGATCGGCGCCGAGGCGAGAGCAAGATTTCGGCCTATCGCGCGGGATGTGCGCTCCGTCTGGCTCCTGCCACGCATGTTGAAACGCGGACGACAGAGCGTCAAGTTTGAGTGCACAGACGCAGACTTGGCACTTGTTGGACATGTCTCTGACCTGCAGCATGGGCGGTCCCGTATACAGCAGCTTCGGGCTGGCTTGGTGGCAAAGTCGAAGTATATGCTCTACTCGGGAATGAGAAGGAGGAGGCAGGAGGAGTAGGAAAGAAGGGAGGTTGAGGACAAGGAGGGAGGAGGCGGAGAAGGAAGAGGAAGGTTGACGAGAAGGGACGATGAGGGAGCAGGGGAAGGAGAGGAGAAGGGTGAGGCAGGAGGAGGAGGGAGAGAAGAGGATGAGGGAGGTGAGAGTGGATGATGATGATGATGATGATGATGATGATGATGATGATGATTATGATGATGATGCTGATGATGACGATGACGATGACGATGACGATGATGATGATGATGATGATGATGATGATGATGATGATGATGGTGATGGTGATGATGATGAGCGCCCGCAGAACCTGCGGCTCGACGCCCTGGACCATGCAAAGGAGGACGGCGGCCCTCCCGCTTCTTCGCCTCCGCCCGCCTCTTCTCCTCCTCTTCCTCCTTCTCCTCCGCCCCCTGCCACTTCGGGTCGCGCGCAGACGGGCCCCCCTGGGTAGTGCTTGCTCGGCTCAACACGCCCCCCCCCCCCCGACGAGTAGTTCCAGCTGGCTTCACGAGGCCCCCTGATTTGCCCGGGGCGGTCTCAACACCCTGGCGCCGCCTCCCGCGGCGCCCCTTGGGGCGCCTCGCGCGCCAGGGCTGGGACGTTGAGACCGCCCTGGGGCGACTTGGTGGGCCTGCTTAGGCCAGCTGGGGCTGCGTACAGACGGGGCCCTGAAGAAGGAACCCTTTTCGTTGGGGAGGGGCTCCGTGTTCCTTAATTGTTTCGCAGTTTGTCTTAGGTTTTCCTTAGGTTTTCGATAGGAAATCGAAGTTTAACTTGTGGAAAAAAGGGGCCTCGTTCCTTATTTAGGGTTCCTGAGGTCAACGCCCCGACTGTACGTACTCGGAGGGCTTGTTTGGAGGGCTTCTCCGAAGGGCTTAGGCGACCCGTCCTCCCCCTGTCTGGAGAGGAAAAAAACACAGACACAATTAATCGTCGATTCCCAGGAAAATGTGGGAACATATGGGAAGTGGGGGGGAAGACAAAAACATAGAAAATATGGGAAAATATGGGGAATATGTTTATGTGTGTGTATTTATTTGTGTGTCCTGGGGCCCCTCCGCCTGGCTCGACGGCAGCCTGGCGCGCACGGCCAGGGAGGCTTGCCCAGCGCGTCGCGGTGCCAGCTTTGGCCCACCGCGCTCCAGCGCGACGCGCTGGCCGCGCCCCGGCCCCCAGGCATCAGCGTCCTCCTCCACCTCCTCCTCCTCCTCCTCCTCCTCCTCCTCCTCCTCCTCCTCCTCCTCCTCCTCCCCCCCTCCTCCTCCTACCCCCCTCTGCGCGTGACCGAATCCTGGGCCCACCAGAGCGGAGCGACGCGCCATCCGCTCGCAGGGCATTGCGTGTCGCCTGGGCCGCCGCAGCGGCACGCGCAGAGCAGACGTTCGTGACCGTGTAGCTGTTCGGACGGGGCGCCCCGTCGAAACGGCGTCGAGGTTCGCGACGATACTCGGGCATTCTCTGCTGCTCTCGGCGGCTTTCGAGCCTGGGCATGCATTCTATCACCGCCCACCAAACCACCCCAACCCAAGCCGAAGGCTCCGGTTTGCCCTCCATTTCGAGTGGTGGGGGGTCGGGGAACACTGCACAAAGACACATGTGAAGCCCGTACCCCCCCAACCCGAAAGTGGGGTCTTCGGGTTGGGTTGGGGTGGTCTGGTAGGTAGCCATTCTAGCAGCCGCGCCTCGCCGAGAGCGCTACAGGGGTGCCTGGATCGGCTCGGACGCAAGGGCCTCGAGATTCGCGACGATGTTCGGACGTGTTCGTCGCCGCTCGGCGGTGTTCGAGCCTGGGCATGCGTTCCAGCAGCCGCGCCTCGCCGAGCGCGCTGCAGGGGTGCCTGGATCGTCTCGGACGCAAGGGCTTCGAGGTTCGCGACGATGTTCGGGCGTGTTCGTCGGCGCTCGGCGGTTTTCGAGCCTGGGCATGTTTGTCCCAGCAGCTGTGCCTCGCCAAGAGCGTTGCGGCAGTGATCGAGCTGGCCTGACCTGGAGAGGCTGCTGCATCGGCAGCAGCGGGGTGCGATGGCAAGGACAACTGCACGCGTTCTGCTGGCATCATACTTTTCTGGATGCCCTTTTTGGCAAGGGCGCCACGAGAATCGTTTGATTTCTGCGCAACCCCATCTTTAGGATCTACGTGCAATGCCGCCGCGTTGCGGCCCTCTCACGACCCCAGGGATGCCTGGGTCGTCCCAGGCGGCCGCTGGGGACCCGTCCAACGAGGGGGGGACGGGGCGAGGGGCGCTACGAAAGCTGCGGCACGCGGCTGGCTTCGGTGCCGCCGCCAGGCCGCTTCCTGGATACATGGGCCGCGACAATGGCGAATTCAGGGTGAGTGACCCTGCCGGCCAGCTCCTCCTCCTCCTCTGTTCTCTTCCCTTCCCCGGCGTGAGACTCTGTTGCGTATTTTTGTCGGCGCCGAGGCGCCCCCGCCCCGCCCCTCGCAGGGCCGTCCCGTGTGGCGTGGGGGCGCAGGGTCAGTGTCGGTGTGTCAGCGTGCCTCCGTCGCCGGCAGAGGGGGTGGGGAAGACGCGACTCCCGGACCTCCGGCGTGCGGGCTGTTCTCAAAATCCACCAGGGCGGTGGACCTCTCGGGCCCAGCATCTAGCCATCGTGCTGCCATCAGGGGCGCCGAGCTGGGAGAGAGGAGTGGCCCTTCTGGCCAAGGCGAGCCGTGGCCACGAATAGATGCACGGAACTCGATCAGAGGAGCGGCCCGACGACCAGAGGCCTTGATAAACCTAAAAGACGGGTGCTAATCTCAGCGCCTTCGATGCAGAATAGGAAAAGGGCAGCACGAGCATAAAAAACTGCCAGGTCCGCGCGGAGTTCTAGGGTCGCTGCTGGAGCCCCCCTTCCACTAGCGCGCGGAAGCGCGGGAAGTGCCATGGGCGGCGCCGGAGCAGGTCCCAGCAACGACCCAGACCTGCACGGACCCCAAAGGCCTGCGTTGACTGTGCACGCTGGTCGTTGGAAGGAGGTAGATCCCCATCTATTTTCGGCGCCATCCTGCTTCAAGGATCGACTGGTGTCCCTCTTCCCTCCTCTTCAGGGGGCGGGCGGAAGCCCGATCTACTTGCGACGCCTTTCTACTTCATGTTTCTCCCCATTGTTCATCTAGCGTTGGACTTTCAGGTGCGAGGGGGATATCCTGGGAGCAACCTGGAGCCATTTGGGCTCGAACTCGCCGCACGGAGGCGACCTTTAGCTGGCACGTAAGTTGCACCCGTTGTGGCACATCGGCGGCAGTTCCGCGGCGATGGCGGTGGCGGTGAAAGTTCAGTCGTGCCCGACATGTTCCTTCAAGCCTAAAGTGGATAAGTTCACCGAGATGGCCAAGGAGCTCTTCGGCGACAAGGTGGAGTTCACCTCTGAGGATGGCGAAAAGGGCATGTGCGTAATCTCCATCGGCGAGGAAGTTGTCTACGAGAAGAAGGGCAAGGGAAAGGGGAAGGGGAAAGACAAGGACAAAGACAAGGACAAGGACAAGGACAAAGAGGGATGGGATGAGGAAGGAAAGGGCAAGGGCAAAGACAAGGACAAGGACAAGGAGAAGGACAAGGACAAGGAGAAGGACAAGGACAAGGACAAGGACAAGGACAAGGGCAAGGAGAAGGGCAAGGGCGGATTCGGCAAGCCCACGCCCGAAGAGCTGGTGGATGCGCTGAAGAAGATCGGCGAGAAGTGCGGCGTGGAGGTGGCCGCTGAGCCGGACGGCTTCGCGGAGCTCCAGCGGCTCCACGAGGAGCAGCTCGCCGCGGGGCCGCCGGCGCCGCCGCCCGCGGAGGGCGAGGAGGAGCGGCCCTGGTACCAGTTCTGGTAG